TAAATAATATTTTACTTCGGATAATTGTCTTTTTTTCTGTGTCATGTATCAGCTAAAATCCATGCACTGCATTGTGAGTGTTGTGTTTTGTGTGTGTATGTGTGAGAGAGAAAATTTTGTCAATACAAAAGAAAATTTTAAAAAGTTTTAGGGGTCTAAATGTAATTAATCCTATCTTTTGCTTCTTTTTTTTTTTGGGTATCAATAGCATTTTTGGTTGCTAAAATATTTATTTTTTGTCAATTTAGTTCTTGGTGTATCAATTTTGTTAATTTGATTCCTAAAATATTTAATTCGTATCACTTTGATCTTTAATCAGATAATCTGTCAAATTTTTTGACGGAAGTAACCCCATATTATTTTTTTAGATTGTATTACGTACCCAATACATGATCATTCTGTCAAAAACCTGACAATCCATTTATATAAAAATAAAAAATAGCACAAATTGAATATTTTAATAACGAAATTAATAAATTTGATATACTAAAAACTAAATTAACAAAAAATATATATTTTTAGAACCAAAAGTGTTGTTAACCTTTTTTTTATCCCCGTTAATTTTAACATTTTAGCTTATAAAAAATCAATTTTATAGATCTCACTTCTTTTATATTTGTATCTTTTTTTTTTGATTTTTTATCTATAATAAAAAATCATCCCAACCAAATATCGTTTTCAACAATAGCTACAATGCATACCGTAGTTGCACCTAAGCACCAAAAAACTACACACATCAAGTATGCCGTCAAAGACACTTCAACTTAGGGTGTAAAACGTATCAAGTTAGGTTATTTTGTATCCGATAGATTTTGAGTTTGTATTAAAAATTCTAAAACTCAAACTTGACATATTTAATAATTGTGTCGAGATGTATAAACATTAACCTGACCTGACCATTAAACAGGTTACTCAAATCCGACTTGTTTAACATGTTTAATAAACAAGTCATTTTCGAGTTAACACACATAATATGATTTGTTTAACTTCTTTAACACATATAACATGTTTTTACACTAGTTTATAACTATTTAATACATCATTCAATCATTCATTTAAAATTTCAAATAATTTTTTTACAAATAACATATCACATCTCATCAATAAAATTAATTAAAATGCATTTAAATTTCAATCCAAAAATTAAAGGAAGAACTATACTAATATACTGTCATAATAATGTTAAAAACTATACTACCAATTATCACAATAGAAGCAAGAATTAATAAGTAGTAATGTTAAAATCATATCAATCATATATGATAGATAAACTATATTGTCATAAACGGATTAAACGGGTCTATAATGGGTTAAGTTGAATTCGTGTCTGAATCATGTCAATCTATTTAAAATATATGGGTTAATCAGGTCAAAATTAGGTTGAACTAATTTTGACATGAACCCGACATGATTTTTTTTGTGTTTAAACGTATTGACCTATTTTAATCCATTAACTCGTTAATTTCGACTCCTACCCATTAATTTTCGTGTTCATTTCGTGTCGTGTTAACACGTTTTGTTTAAAATTGACAATCCTACTTGAACATAGGACTGGTGATTTTACACATTTTTTTTAAATAATATTATTTGAATCTAAAAATTTGATCTAATTTTCTGACATAATAATGTGGATTCATAAGAATCATTAGATCAATATCAAATTCTATTGTTTGATAGAGGTTACAGTCAATGTAAAGGTCACAATGAGGTCAACAAATTATGTCAATAAATTAGGTATCAATAGTATTACTCTTTTTTTTTTTTCTCTTTCAAACCAACTCGTATGCTTAACTTCGTTTTTGAAATCTCCTTATAATTAATTAATTGACTTTCTCTTTTGATTTTTGGGTGGATTCCTAAAACCAAGAGGTTTAGGTCGTGTTTGGTAATATTTTTTGTTTTCATGTTTTCAAAAATAAAAAAAAAACGGAATTAATTTTTTTTCTATGGTTAAAAGTTGAAACACACTTGCCTAAAAAATATTTAGATCTCAAATTTGAAATAAATAATTCTATGTGCACCGAATTTGTGCACCAAAACTTATACGAAGTTAATTGTATTCGTTGAATCAATGATGAGACTCGTTAAAGACGCAATTGATTTGATGCTCATTTTTAACTTTACACATTTGAAATTTCAAATAAAATTTTAAATGAACAGAGAGCTTTGAATACGTAAATTTTATTATAAAAAATTATCGTAACGCATTAATTCGAGAGCCACTAAACAATTAGGATCTTAAATTTGAGATCCTGGTGTTACGACTAATAATCAAGTTGAATTATACAAACTCAACTCATTTTCTTAAATAAATTTTTAAACTATTTAAAAAAATGTGCTCAATGAATTCAGTTCAATTATTAATTTTAGGAAAATACTAATATATAATTTAAATTTATAATCTAAATTTGTATTTCAAATGAAAAGAAATCATTAAATAAATATGTCTCCATCAACTTTTTTAAATGGGATTCACTGATCCAATAATTTCTTTCATTTAAAATATAAATTTGAATTATATATTTAAATTACATAATAATGCTCTTAATTTTAACTTAGCGTGAGTATATCCACTTACCCATTGGCCAAATCACCAAAGCCATGGTCCGGGAGCCTGAGCTACCTCCCTCTTTTGAATGGCATTTGATATCGATTGTTTTGATCACTGTTATAGCAAAGTGACTATATTATAATTCCCCAGCTAATCCAACGGCTGAGAACTGGGCTACTTAAGATCCAAATGGCGTGTACGACTGCAGATTGACTGTAGACCTCAAATGGAGCGCCACGTGTCCGAAGTTGGTGCTGCGTTTCATTCATGCCAACCGTGTCAGGCTGGCAGTGGCGGCCAACCAATCTCTCACCAAGAAAGGTGGGAGAGCCACATAAATAGCACCATGTGCACACGCTCCGTGAATTGTACTACTTTTTGTCCTTTCCATTTTGTTTTTTTGGCCTTTAATTATAAAAAACAATTGGATTTAATCAATCCAAATAGTTCGAATTTAACTTAGGCTCGCTAAAAATTAAAATTCATTAGATTCTATCACATTTTGTTCAAGTTCAACTCGAATGTTCACAAGTTTTTTTGAGTCAAGGTTGAAAAGGAATTTAAGTTTAACTCAAGCTCAAACCTAATTAAACTTAACACAGTCAAACATAAACATATTAAAGTTCGATAAACTCGATTAGATGAATACCCTTATTAGAATCATAGGACTAACATTCAACTATATCACTTGTCTTGAATTTTAGACAAAGTTCTGCCCGGGGTTCACACAACTAATGAGACTTGACAACATTTAAGGCCTGTAATTGATTGTCTTATCTTGCTAGGTTTGTGATATGCCTAAGTGTTGCGCTCTTATTTATTTATTCAACCGTATCTTGTCCATTTGTAGCCATGTATTGTGACTTGGTCTTGTGTATACGTTCTATTTAATAAATTCGACTCATTTATTGAATGAGTCTAATTAGTTCACAATTATACCAATACTAAAACTCTCTAATTTTCTACTAATTTTGAGTTCATTTAATAATCATATCTAAAATTGTCAAGTCTAACTTAAGTGGTCTTTGCCTATTAATTCAAAAAATTTCCATTCCTTAGCTAAAGTATTCAATAACCACATAAAAACATTCATGCCTGCTTTGGTGGACGACGATGGCACACTCCATTGGATCAACACTAGAAATTTAAACTAATTCGATTGAATCGAAATCCGAAATTAAAATTTGGAATAGCCCAAGTTTACCCAAATTTGTAGCAAGACAAAGCTAACTTGTCCTCAAGCAAATAACCTTATGTCCAAGTCATAGGCCAGTTTCAACATTAAAGACCCCCCCCTCAAATATCTTCAATCATTGAAGACGAGAAAAGCATAAGTAATTTAATAATTTTGAATTGACCTTCCAAGTAATCTCCGAAAGCTACTTACAAATTGTAAACAAACAAAAATATCTCATAAAAAAAATTTCCCACCACATAAAAGTGGGCTACTCTACTCTCGCAATAAGTACGTCAACCGCACACCTGCCTACTGTTGCAAAACGTAACGTTTTTTGAAATTTAATTTGTTGATTTAATTTTTAATTTAATTTTTTATGACCTTTTAATTGACTTTAGGTCTTATCAAGTATTAAAATTTGATGTCGATCCAATAATTTCAAAGAAGTTATATCATTAGATCAACAAATTAGATACGATTTTTAAGTATAAATATCATTTGAAAATAGATCTAATTTAACGTCCTAATTTAGAGATTTAATATAATACGAGAAACAAAATGCCATAAATTATACGATTTGTAATGGGTTGTGTCGCGTGAGTTATATTTTGTCAAAATTTGTTTAATTTATACACAATTTATTTATAATCACGTATCTTATTTGTTTTTGTTTATGTACAGTTTATTCAAAATCGTATAAATTTATTAATTCAATAAGTCACATAGGCCAATGATCCCTAGAATCATTAAGACTAAATCTAAATACACTAATTTTTGCATCCAACTGTATCAAGTGATCTCTTTGAGAAAAATTATTAGCCCTAATAAAATGAAAATATTTTTATAATAATAATAATATTACCTATATTTACTCGAGTCCTTAAATTGAAAACCTAATGAAAATAGATCCTATCTCTATTATAATCAATTAGTATATTCAATAATAATTATATATTAAATTATCAAAGTAATACCCAAATTACCTCCACTAGCATTCCTGTTTTGCCATTCTTGAACTACTTTACCAAGGTCTGATAAAAAAAAAACTACTTTACCAAGCAATACTCAACCTTTTGACCCAAGCTTTAGACGATTGAGCTAATTAGTGGAAGTGTAGCCTTTTGTATATTAGTGTACATTTTTTTTTTGTGTGTTGTCTTCTTCCTTATAAGGACCTATATATATATATCTGCCCCTCTCCTCACTTTTCCGAACCAACCAAAGATCTCTCTCTCTCTCTCTCTCTCTCTCTCTCTCCGTCTCTTCTTCTTTCTCCTCCTCCTCCTCCTCCTCCTCCTCCTCCTCCTCCTCCTCCTCCAGACATGGAAATAGAGCAAAGCCCACCAGTGATAGCCAAGAAACTGTTGAGCATAGTGAAGATAGTGTTCTATATGCTCAGAAAAGGCATATCAAAAAGCAAAATGCTTACTGATCTTCACATGATGCTGAAACGAAGCAAGATCTTCGGCAAAGCCATCGGAAACCTCATGGTCAACTACGACTACTCGGCGTTGACCTGCCGATCAACCGACTCCGGCATGTCCTTTATATCTCCTCGTCTCCGAGAATACGAGTTCAGCTGTAGCAATAGCCCAGCTTTTCCCTCCTTCTACCCAAAACGCAAACACCATTTTCGCCAAAATGTGGAGGACATAAATGTTGTCCACAAGGTGTTTGATATATTGAATAACTATGAGATGGTCGAGGCCTCGCCGTTGACGTTGCCGGGGTTCGGGCCGAGCCCCGCCGTGAGGCAGCTGAGAATAACGGACTCGCCGTTCCCGTTGAAGGACACAGAGGGTGATAATACTCAGGTGGACATGGCAGCTGAAGAGTTTATTAAGAAGTTTTACAAGGTTTTGAGGCAAGAAAAGAAGATGGCTGCCCTATCATCTCCATCGCCATACCACAAATGGGGTCGATGAGCTTGTGATCAATGAAGTTTCTGGTGATTTTTAGGATCAAATTTCAAGTTTCTGAACAAGAGTTTCATGATTTGCAGCATATGAACAAGAGGGTTCCACAGTTTTTCACCAATTAAACTGATAAACAGCCCTGCAAAATCGAATCATGCAAAGTCGCGTGACTCTTGATTCATGCCAGTACTTAATCTTTAATATATCCGCGACTTTGTTTTACAGTTCTAGTCCTTTATCAGTTTACTTGGTGTGGAAGTGTGCTTGGCTTCAATCACGAACTCTTTCCGACAATAATTCTGACTCCGGGACCTGGTGGTTTGCTTTATTTATTTATTTTTTCCTTTTCTTTACATTTTTTCTGGTTGTCTAGGTGCCAATGTTGGAAATAAATAATAGTTTTGTGAATTTTAATACTCCTCTTTCAATTAAATTTATATCTACCGAGACCGTTGCATAGTAAAGAGAATTAAAAAATCGATATTAATGGCAGAGTTTACCACAAATAAATTAATAACATCATTCAACACCATCACAGCCGTGTGGCTTGATTCATGTCATTACTGTACCATTAATATTTACACGATTTTTTTTAACAATAATGCTATGCTAACTAAATCTACTCTAATATTTGTTTTATATATAATATTTCCTTAATAGTCGACCACCATGTATTAATGAGAGACTCACTTATATATAATGGGTTTAATTTAAATTCAAGGTAAATGAACTATCAAGGATAAAACTGGAGAAAAATCATCGGTCCTCACTCCGAGGTGGGTTAGCTTCAAACACAAACTCTTTTATATATATATATATATTTGGTTGTCTTAATGGCAATGTTGGAAATAAAAACCAGTTTTGCAAATTTTAATACTATTGTTTTCTTCAAGTTCATATCTTGCATGGTAAAGAGAATTTAAAAAAGCCTTGTGTTTGGCCACTCGTGTAGCCTTATTGTATTGCCATTTGCCTCTCAAAGTTGGCGGGTTGGAAGCTTTGGCTTCATTAGGTTTTTAAAGAATTATTGTAACTTTTTTTTGTTTTTCCAACGGTCTTTTCCACTTGTGTTTTTTCTTGGCTCTCTTTCATGGAAGTAGCTGGGAAGTCACCTATCATGGACAAGAAGGAGACATACACTGACGTTTTTTCTTCTTCTTTTTTCATTTTTATTTGAACATCATGAAACAAAAGGTCAACAATCTACATGCTCGCGCGCGCGCGCACACACACACACACATATATATATATATATATTATAAATAATTAGGAAGATAACCTTCTGTGACTTACAGTTTGCACAGAATCT